TCATCATCATCATCATCATCATCATCATCATCATCATCATCATCATCATCATTATTATTTTGGTTTTTCAAGACAGGGTTTCTCTGTTTAGCACTGGCTGGCCTCGAACTCACAGAGCTCTGCCTGCCTCCTGAGTGCTGGGATTAAAAGAGTGGGCTGCTGCTGCCCAGCCTTTCTCTAGTCTTAAAACAGGAGTAAAACAGCATCTTGAGAGGGTTGAGGGAGCCATGAGATTTTAAGTGCATCATTCCCAGACCTGCAAGTGCTGTGCTCTACTGGTACCATTCTGGAACCTTCTCTGGGGGAATAGCAGAGTCTTTATCCCGGAGCAACAGTCTGTCCCTTATCAAAGATGTCGTTAGGAAGGCTCCAATCCACGGACAGCCCACACTCTTGCTTATTCCCTTGCGAGGGTCTTCGTTGCTTCTTTGAGGATTGTGCTGTCTGGGACTTGATACTGCTTCCTAAGACCTGGGGCCTTACTTCCAGACACTTCCCTGATATGTGTTGCTTGAAAGCCAATCAGTTTTATTCAAGAGTCACCTCCTTTGAGGCTGTCTTCCTTAGAGCTCCACCTGGGGTTTTGGGGTGCACAGAAACTCTTGTATAGAGAGGAGGGGCACAGTAAGATGGTGGAGAGACAGACTGCATGATGAACAGTCTTTGGCATCTACGGTGTCTGATCCTCCTTTTTCTGGAGAATATCACTGTTGACCTTGACCCCTAGAACTCCCATGACCCCGTAGATGTTACTTGTCTGCTGGAGAAATCTTACAGTAGTTTATTGCTTGTGTTCATTGACACGTAGCTGCTCAGTAGTAGCGGGAGGACAGCCCATTTTTGACCACACTAAGGGTCATCAGATTCCCTGTGTTCTGCGGCCTTCGAGAGAGATGACTTCACAGTTAGCATCACCATCATTTATCTGGGACTTCTCTTTAGAACTTCAAGTACAGGAGAAACGGATGAAAGACCCCTTTGCAAAAGGCATAGCAAGGGAAGGTGACTTTTGGACATTGCCTACTGTTAGATGTAGACCTGTTTGGCCACCTTTCTGTCTTCAGAAGGGATGCCTGGGTTATAGCCAGGCTGGTGTCCTGAGCAGCATTCTGTGGTCCCTCCTCTTTTGAAATGAGTTCCCTTGGTCCCTGGGGCCTGAGTTGAGTGGGCATTCCCAGCTGAGCCCGTCTCTCAGAGTATGGTTCTGTATCTGGAAGCCTGGGTTTCTGATCTTGTGGTAGGGGACAACTGCCCGGCCCACCTGTTTTGAGGCTGGCAAGTGTGAGTGGCAGACCTCAGAGGCTGGTCAAGGACAGCTGAGTCATGCTGAACCTGGGCCCGATTCCCGTCTGTTGTATCATCATTTGGGCAGATGCCAAGTGGCTTGGACTGGCCAATAGCCTGCCTCCTCAGCCTCACTTTCCTGTCCAAGGCCCTCATCTGTCTTTGGTACTTCGGCTCCTCCCAGGCTCAATTTTTACCCATATTTCAAAGATGATGAAGCAGCATGGGGGTTCCTGGACAGTCCATAGTGGCAGGGACCTGGTCACTTACCTCTGGTCAGACTTGTTTCCCTTTTGTCACAATGGCTGTTCCCACTGGAGGTTGTGAGTACCCCTTCCTTGCAAGTATTCCAGTTGGTTAGAAAAGCCGTGGAAGGGCCTTGGGAGCTCAGGAGGTTATTTTCACAGTTCTTCAAGCCTTGAGCTTTCCCATCCCTGGGAAGATGGCCCCAATGACCATGACCTTTCGAGTTAAGTGCTAACCAGCACATGGGTGATGTCTGAGTGACATAATGACCCTCCCCGCTACCTTGCTGGTCACTGCACCTAACTCCCCCGTGGGTACATTGGACTACATCGTCAGGAGTGTTTTCCAGGACAGCACGTGAGGAGCTGGGAGTGAGTGAGGTTGTTTTATACAGGAGAAGGACACTTCTCCACCTGCAGAGTCTGGGGCCTCTGGATCATCCTTATCCTATAGTCTTGAATCTGGGCAGGTGTGTAGGTTGCTCCATTCCTCTCCAACACCGGTGATATCACCTTGCTGGATTGCAAGCAGTGGGCAGGGCAGTAAGGAAACTTTTTGCCAACACTTGTTCCACGCCCTTCTGGCCACTGCCTCTTGTACACATTTAGGATACCTGATGGTAGGGTCTGGTCTCTGAACCTGGCACAGGAGTCACCAATGCTAGCTGTGGTTGGGGAAGACAGTTGGCACTTCTCCCCGGAGACCCTTCTGTGGGTATCAGCATAAGCAGGCGTCCCACCTCTGTCCCCCTACTAGGGGAGCCAGAGTTCAAAGCTGCAGTAAATGCGATCTGTGAAGACAGTGGTGTCCACACACCTCATGAGTGTACAGGGATGGTCTGGCCCTGTCCCTCTGCTGTGAGGCCTCGGGATTGCGGTGCAGACCTCTCTGAGCCTCCATCTCTACCTCATGCAGAGTGTCATGGGCCGCTAACACTCTGACGTTGTGGGGCTGCCCGTGTAAGAGTAGGGTGTTGCATCAATAGAGACACACAAGTGAAGGAGTTGCAGACTAGATTGGGGTCCAGTTTTACCAGTTCTGTGGCTCTGGGCAAACAGCTTCTCTCCACGCCTGTTTCCTCAGCTGTATGATGGGAAAGAGACTCCCTCCTCACAGGTGGCATTGGAGGCGTGGAGTCAGGTGACTGTCATGGCGCCCACAGGCACATCCCTGACGTGGCCTAGCGCTGGTCTGTGTGCCTAGTCCTAGTCTTCAGCGGCTCCCACCCTGGGTTC